ATTAAGTTTAAGATTCACGATTTCAATGCAGAGATTCATCATATTATACTATTCTCTCAACAGATCAGATCAATAGTCCTTCGGATATAAACTCTCAACGCAAAATAAGCCGCATCTGAATACAAAAAAATACATTTAACCTAACAAGTAGACACTCCATACTCCTAAACTGCCTTTCTCTCATGACTATTGCCATTGAATTGATCTTGGTGGTGCAGTGAAACTATGGGTGTGGCTAATCTCTTCTTCCACCCACACCCCACACCCATACACCCGCACACCACACCCACACCCGTATATATGTATGTCCGGCAGATGTTCTCGGTCACGGATGTAATGGGGATGGCGCACAAAGGCCGTCACAATAATGTTAGATGATCAACAGAGGTAAAACTCCTAATTTGATCTCCTTTTTTGTTGTTCATTTCATTTTCCTTTAACAAGTTGGTTTAAAACTTACAGATGAACATAATCTATCAATAGCTTTTTATCATTGTAACATTTTTTTTTATTTTTGAGTTTATCAGACTCAAGCAATGATAACTTGTGATAAAAAATAGGTTTTATAACATTTCTATGAATTTTCAATGCTCAATTGATTTATTCGATTTTATTTAAAATATAATAGACAAAAAAGTATGATACAATTAAAAGCAAATAACTGCTAGTCTGACGAATTGACAAGCTATAAAAGAAGGAAAATGTTAGGCAGAAAGAAAAATAACACTATTGCTCAATATGACAATATGCACATTTATTCTTCATTGTCTTCACTGACGGCAGTGAACAAATGAACACATATGTCTATATGTTGTGGTCAGAATTAAAATTTTAGTTTTGACTGAACAAAATTAAAATTCTTTTTCTTAATGAAAAGAAAAAGGCAAAATTTTGATAAGAAAGCATATGGATGTGGGTGAGAATTCTTGGTTTTGAAGGGTGTGGGTGTGGGCGTAGATGGATGTGGAAGCAGCAAGATCTTAGGGTTGTCATTTTCGTATTAACTTAAATAACTTTACATCATCAATAATCAAGTTTAAAATAAATTAAATTTTTCGTAGTTTAAATTTAAATATAAATTGAAATCATCAGTATTGATATTTAAAATAAATTTAGCTTAAGACAATTGAAATTTATTTTTAAATTTAAATTATGAAAATCAAATATAGTTTTATTTTAAATATAAATTTTGATAATTTAATTTACGCATTAATTAAATTGAAAGTAAATATAAATTGACACTCTTACAATGCCTCTATTGCATCCATACTCTTATAATATTTGTTAGTAATCTTTTTGAAATAAATAAGTTGTCGCTGCTAAAACTACTTGTTTTTCTTTAGCTTTTTCTTTACATTAAAACCAGAATTTCAATTTTGACTGGACAAATTTAAAATTTGACTGAATTTTAATTTTGACCACAACATATATATAGATCACGGAATATTGACCTATATCAATAATTATCGCTCGACATGTCTACCGTAGACATAAATGATATCAATATACTCGATTTGCCCGATGAAATATTACTTGCTATCACCAACAAATTAAATATGGTCGACGTACTTTATTCACTGGTGGGTGTAAATCAACGATTTGATCGACTAGTACTCGATCCTTTCAATATTCATCATCTAGATTTAAGGATTAAATCATTGATTGAGCATAACTTTTCAGTAGGCAATCAAGTTCTTGATAGAATTTGTGGAGAAATTTTACCTCGAATTAATAATAAAATAAACAAACTCACTCTTGATCAACATTCTATGGAAAGTATACTTCGTCCTATTGTCTATCCTCAACTTTATTCATTAACACTTGTCAATTTGCAATCAGATACACTTTTACCATACTTAACAGGTATACTTTTTTAACTTTCACTAATTTAATCAACAAAATATTTCTGTACATTGAAGATGATACAAAGATTCGTTATCTTCTCACTGATCAAATCACACATCTGAATATTAACATCATTGATCAAATAACAACAGAACTAGATGATGACAATGAATCAAATTTATTTCCATTATTATTGTCGATAGGCAAATGTCTAACTGATTTGACTTTTAGTCAATGGTTTTGTTGTCGTGAAAATTCACAGATTTCAATTTTTCATATGCCATCAACAAGTTGTGTTTCTTCAACGCTCAGTAAATTGAATATGAATGTCAATACTTTTGATGATTGTCTTTATCTTCTTGATGGACATCTTGATTCTTTATCTATATTGATCATTAATATTCGTAAAATTTCCGCTCCATTATCAAATATTGATAATACAGTAAGAATACATTTAATTATTGTATTATGAATAAACATTAAATTAGTAATACATCCTTTATTCTTTTTTTTTTCTTTCTAGAAACAACTTTGCAAACTCAAATGTTTTTCATTACTTGCTTATGGCCGAACATATTTTTATGACAGTCGAGTTGTACCATTACTCTGTCGAATGTCCAATCTTGAAGAATTAACATTATATCTATCGATAATAAGAACTGAATCGATTTATATTGATGGTACTCATTTATACGATGAAATTCTTATTCATATGCCACTATTAACCAAATTCAATTTCAGTATAAATACTCTTGTTTTCAGTAAAGATATAATTAATCTTCCATCAAACCATGATATTCAACATAGTTTTGTCAAAAGAGGATATCAACAAATTGATTCATATACTCACAAGGAATCAGAAACAGGCACTACATGCCATATCTATTCAGTTCCATATCAATTTGATTGTTTCAATATGACCTGCCATTTTCAGGGTGGTATATTTGATAAAGTTCAGTATGTGATGATGGGTGAAAGAGAACATCCTTTTGAACATGAACTTTTTCAAATCATCTCTCATTCTTTTCCTTTTCTTCGAACACTAGTTATATGTAATTATGAACCACAAAAAAGAAAACAACATTCATCTACAATCATCATCTTTCCTTATCTTCGTAGTCTCGATCTTCAAAGGGCAAATGTTGATTATGGTGCTCAATTTCTCTGTGACACAAAAATTCATCTGCCTTGTTTGTTGAACCTGACAATTCCTTATGAATCACTAGCAATGATAACAAACAATTTTACCAATGATTTGACACGTCTCACTTGTGCTCGTTTGCAACGTCTTAGTATATGTGGCTCGTATGTTCCTTCAGAAAATTTTCATTCATATTTTCCTTCATGTTACATGTAACTTGTCTTCAAAAATTTTTTCAATAAAAGGAAATACTTTGATAAAGTTGGTTATTTATTTTTCATGATGAAGTGTATTCATTGCTGCAGAAATCAGCAATCTGTGATGAAATAATATATTGAGGGTGAAGGTATGAGAAATCATTTTTTATGTGATTAAAGTAGAAAAAGAACTGATATAAACGTTAAAATTATTTAGTTGAAAAATTCCTTGAGTTATTTATTTTATTATTTCAAAATAAAGTAAAATATCAGATGTTGATTTTGACATTTCTTTTATTTATTTTAATTGTTAAGAAGTAAACCAAATTCTTCATTAGATACTTTATTCGGATGAATATGATGACGTTG